TGTTCTATTGCAGTTTGTGTGAAGTTGAGGTGGGTTCTTAAACATGCAATTATTTGGGATCCGTTGAATGAAATCAGTCCTTCAGGGGCTATTTGTGGAAAAAATATTTTGTCATATTTGGCCTAAATGTCTATTTATGGAATAATTTCATAGTTTCATAGAAGATGACAAGTAAGGGCAATAAGCTGTTAGTCTTATTTTCATGTTCATTGCAAGATTAGTGCTGTGAAGTCATCATGCAAATCATGAAACAATTAGTGAGGAATGAAATGAAATGTTGAATCTTATTTGAAAACAAAAGAATAGTATGTTGTTACTCCCTCCGCGCAAAAAATATAATTTTGTATGAGTTATTTGTTTTTTAGTCAATTCAATCAAGGTACAAGCTTTTATATGAATGGTCACTTATACCTTTGACACTTATATGTAATATCAAAGATTGCTTGGAACTCTTTGCCTCTTGGCTTTACATAAACTCTACTTGAAAATGAAAGTGGACTTTTAAAACCAAACTTTTTTCTCGGGCAAAACAGTTATTGCAACATAGGATGGGGTGAGTATACATTCACTATGTGACTTCGTTTGCAGGTGTTCAAATACAGCAAGCACTGTAGAGTATGCGATAAATGTGTTGACCGATTTGATCACCATTGCAGGGTAATTATCACATTGCATAATCTGAATCTTAACCTCACATACAACACAACAGCTCCTTGAATTTTTACCCCCCCACCGTAATATTTTGTTGTAGTGGCTAAACAATTGTGTAGGGAAGAGCAACTATAGGAAGTTCTTCACCCTCATGGTCTCTGCTCTTCTATTGGTATGTATAACCGTTTTCTTCATCGGGTCTTAATACAAAGTCACCATTCTCATGTCTCCGTGTAGACCTTACCCCTACTTTGGAGTAAGTGACATATATCAGAATAATTCTACATTTAACCCCAACCACATAAACGGTCCATTCTACCCTTATCTTCAAAAACTCTAGTCATTTGGTTGGAGTGAATGGAAGGGTGTACTGGACTTTTTATGTGGTGCTGGAGACAGGTAGGGGGGGTTAAACTTGGGTCCACAATACTCCAGTCTCGTGGTCTCTTCGGGACAAAAGTATCCAAAGTTGAGGGTGAGCTTCAAAAAATGGATTTTTTTTTCTCAAGACATTTTCTTGGAGTATTTGATAAGGAATTGACAGGTCTACACACCTTGGACTTGAGATTGCAGCTTATACTTCAGTGGTCAATTGGAATCCTTGTTATGTTCTTGTGCTTTGTTGAGAAGAAGCGATTCGCCACAGATATACCCTCTAAGCTAGGAAGCAGTTTCTCCATGGCTCCTTTTGTCATGGTCGTGGTGAGTATTCATATAACTTCCTCACCCCTTAGGGTGTGTTTGGTTGGGACTACTTGGACAGGATGGGAGGAAGAATTCTCGCTCCCAACTCTGAACCAAATCAGGCAGGGCGAGAGGTGGGGCAGCATTTCCCCTCCCCCTTCCCTCCCGTCCAACCAAACACGCCCTTATGGTCGTGGCGATTTAGTTGTTCACCAAAGTGTTTGCCTTAATGATAGGGGGTCTGCACCATATTGGCTATGCTTGCGACACTCCCACTGGCTCAGCTTTTCTTCTTTCACATACTTCTCATTAAAAAGGTCAGATTCCCTTTCTTACCAGTGACCTTAGGTCTTGTTTGGTAAGGCTGCAATGTTATATCAAAATCTCATCGCATTGCATTGCGTCTCCCCAAACGACATCTCATTGTGTCCTGAAAGGTAACTGACGAGATGTTATTTTTTTGACAATCAAAGGGACTCAGTACGTACGATTATATAATGGCTCTGAGAGAGCAAGAACAACAAGGGATTGGAGGGAATCAAAGTCCTCAGTTGTCCACGGTTAGCTCCATAACGGGGTTAAGCAGTGTAAGCTCCTTCAACACCTTCCATCGAGCATCTTGGTGTACGCCCCCACGCCTCCTTCTTGAGGATCAGGTATGTATATATTTTCCCTCCGTCCCAGTGTATTTGTCCGGTTTGACTTTTTTGACTCAAGCTCGATGAACTTTGAACTTCAGTTAAATAAAAACCGTAATGTATCTTAGCATAAAAATGATTTTATTTGATTTACCCTATTAAGAACTTTCAAGATTGCATTTCATTATACTATTATGTCATACAAATTGAGAGTAGTTGAAGCTCAAACTTTATCAAGTTTGACACGATAAAGTCAAACTGGACAATTCCACCGAGAAGGAAGTAGTATTATTCACATTCTCGTTTTTTTTAAAGTTCACGTGGAAGACTCGAGCAAACAGACTTCGCTTTGTTGCACGTGAGGAGACGTGTTATAGTATAATGACCTTTGTGGGGCCATATTGGGTTTGGTTTACACCACATTTGACACCATCGTTACAAATATTTACAATCACGAAACAGTATCGAATGTTTATGGTTTTTGAGAATGTGTTTAATGTAGTTTCGATTGCATGCAGTATGATGTGGCTCCTCCTCATCATGACAACGGATCAGTGAGCTCTTTTGGGAAAAAGACGGTGGGGGTGGGCGAGGAGGCAACGAAGAAGAAGCACCCGAACGCGGTGAAGATAAGTCCGTGGACGTTGGCGCGGATGAACACGGAGGATATCTCAAAGGCCGCTGCCGAAGCGAGGAAAAAGTCAAAGATTCTTCACCCAGTTGCCAGACAACAACAGCAGAAACCGCATTATGGTCTCGACGACGAGGACGACGAAAACTCCCCTAACAACTACAGTCTCCGGCACCCACGTCTCGAAAGCAACAATAGGACGCCGCCACAGAGCAAGCGTGTGCGGGTCCCACCCGAGACATCGATGAGCTTGGCCCCACTACATTTCGAACCTTTTCATACAAATCCGAGACGGGGCTCGGTGTCCAGCTCAGACAGCAGCGTGGAGCCCTCCTCCCCGGATATCCCCCACCCTTTCAGGGGGGCCTCCGCCGGAATGATTACTGCGGCAGCAGCCCCGAAAGAAATCTCATTTTCCAGGTCAACTAGCGACGGGTACGAGGCGTCGGGTGGGGAGGACAGTGACAGAGTCCCCGGAAGGTTCGCGGGTAGGCTGGTGGGGCCGCCATCTTCGTCGGCAGCGGAAGCCCAAGCTAACAACAGAATGCTCTGGTGACAAAAAGAAACTCTTTTTACTGTTTATTCGCCGAGGTTGATCCCGCCGGGAAAAATGGGCAGATTCATCTCCTTTATATCTATCAATTCATCAGTTTAACCCATTTGTACATCAAGTTTGATGGGGGGTAAAGTGGGGAGAGGATACAGCACATATTTATATATCTATATCTGTTTTGTTCACTGAGGGGGGATGTTGAAATTATGTTGTCTTACTGTGTTTCTTGAGGTAATCCATGGAAGAAGAAGAAGAAGAAGAATGTATGTATGTATGTATGTATGGGTGGGGAGTTTTCCATTTCTATGGAGTTAACCAGAAAAACTAGAGATTAGGGGCCAATGTAATGAACTCTCTTTCTTGTTTTGTGCACTGATTTATATGTTTTCTTTTTTGGTTATTTTTGTTTGTTTTTTAGGACGTGTTTTGCATAATTAGTAGAGAAATTACTTGAATAGTGTAAAACATAGCCTTTTTTTCCTTAAATAAGACCATATCTTTTAATTTTCATTACATAATACGGAAAAATATCAAATGGTTAGGCCCGCTATACGGACCGGGTTCGAGCTTTAATTGTTAGGTCTGCTTTACGGGCAAGGCTGGACTCGGACTTGGAAATCTTTTGTGGTGTAGCATTTCGATCTGGCCCGTATCTTGATCATGTCTACTAATGCTTCTATATTCAAGGTCTTTGAACCTAAGAACAAAAATAACAATGTCTTAGCATTAAGCATTTGAATTGTTCTCTATTGTCCTTGATTTCACAGTATACACCATGATTACAATGTCCAACGTCCTCTTAAAAGTGTCCAGACGATGGATGGGGGACAGGAGCAACACGCAGCGGACACGGGGGCTAGGAAAGACGGGCGACGCGTAGGGGTAGCTTTGAAGGAATGTGCATGGGGTGGGGGTGGTCGTGTGAAAGAAGAAGGAAAGAAAGAAGAAAGAAGAAGAAGAAGAAGAAGGTAGGAAATAGAAGATAAAGGTTGTATATGGAAAGTTACACATGTTTTCATGATACCCAAAAACGATGTCATTTTTTAGTGGAAAGGACACAGAGGGACGGAGGGAGTAATTATTTTAATAGAATAATTAATTTACTAATCTTGCTTTGCTAAACATTGTAACTAATTAATATACTTGGCGAGTAAAAAAATGTGAGTGTTATGGCTTGTTGATTTTTTTTCAAAGTACTCTGTATTATTAGTGAATGGTTTAGCACTTTATAACATGGTAGCACTAGCACACGTTTTAAAATAATCCTAAACTAACCATGCTACAAATTCACATGATTGGAAAGAAACTTGGATGCTGAAGAACTCAAAAGAAATTTAAAAAATTGGAAAGAACTGATAATGTGGTAATTTATATTGTCATGATTATTAAGCCTAAAGAATAGCTCCAGTAGTTATTGAGATTACCATATGCGTGTACTTATCCTATGCACAGATTATTTGTATTATTAGTTTGTATTTATCTTGTAGTTAGAGTTGTTAGTCTAGATCCTATTTCCTCTCTTATGTATGTTTATCTTCATGGCTATATAAAGCCATAGGACTGTGAGTAAAGTACTGAAGCATTCTCTTCATTATATGGTATCAGAGCATTTTTTTTGTTTTAATCACTTTTTCGATCCTCTGTGCACATTGCTGCCATGGCTGTTGTTCCAACATCTGCCTCTATCTCGACCGACACTCCGGTCATTCAGATTCATGCCAAGACGCATTTCCCGATCAAACTCACCACTGTCAACTTCCCTGTCTAGCAACGACAAGTTCATTCCACTTTGATGGGATATAACCTTCTCGGTTATATTGATAGTACCCTTCTGACACCGCCACTCTACACTGATTCCGCTCGCACCACGGTCAATCCTTGCCATTTCACCTGGTTTCGACAGGATCAGGTGATTATTAGCGCCCTCCTTAGTAGCTGTACCGACACAATACAGCCACTCATATTCATGGCTGAGACCTCTGCGGTTGCCTGTCAAAATCTCACGACAAGTTTTGCAAGTGCCTCACGCGGTCGTGTGGTTTCCCTCAAGTCCAAGCTTTCAAAAAATCCACGTGGCACTCGATCGTTCCAGGAATTCCTCAACGATATGCAGTCCATTGCGAACGATCTTTCCTTGGGCCAACATCCTGTTCCTGAAATGGACCTTATTGTTCATGTGCTAAATCAGATGGGTGAAGAATATGACTCGATTGTGTCTGCTGCACGTGTTCGGGAATCCCCTCTTCCGTTCACTGAACTTGGCGATATTCTCAAAGAGCATGAAACCGAGCTTAAGCCTGCCAAAGAATCAGAGCAGTCTCTAGTAGCCATAGCGCATGCGACCCAGCGTTCGTCTTTTGCATCACATGGCAGGCAACACTTTACATATGGGCGTCGCATGTGCTCCCGGGATGGCAATTCACGATGTGGAAGTGATCAGTCTCATAGTGACCCGGCTTCTGCGTCTGTTTGACGTTATTGTCAAATCCTGGGGCATACGGTGCAAGTGTGCCACAAGCTGGCCAAGTTTTTACGAGAGAATGGACTGACCATTGTTTCCACACCTTCGGTCAACACTGCAACTGGGGGATTTTAGCCTCTCAATTCGTGGATGTTCGATAGTGGCACGAGTCATCACACAAGTTCTAGTCTAGCTTCGCTTCAAGCTTTCTCTGACTGTATATACATTCTAACTCTTATTTCGAGAATGAAAACATATAACTCTTATTTTTTTATAAGTTCTAGTCTAGCTTCGCTTCAAGCTTTCTCTGACTGCATATACATTCTAACTCTTATTTCGAGAATGAAAACATATAACTCTTATTTTTTTATATCTTCAATGTTTTACTCTTACTTTATTCTATTTTTCCTTAAGAAATAAAATAAACTTAAAAAATCTTGAAAAAAAAACAGAAAAGAAAATGGAAGAAATTCAAAAAAAAAAAGAAAAGAAATTAAGAATTTAAGCGGAAAAGTAATATACTCCCTCCTTTTCACAATAGTTAACTTTCTCCGTGATCCAGATTCCAGAGGAGTTTCTTTTTTCGGCCACGACAATGGAGAAGGTATGCTTGATGACAGCTCTCTAAACTGGCAAATCTCGGTTATTGTTGAACTTGTTGATCCGCGATTGAAGTTTCTTGGGGAGTTAAATCCATCCGCAATGGAAAACCCCGTGGACTTAGACCCAGATCTTCAAAGTTTCGAATCGGAAGTAGAAAACAGTAAGCCAAGATCCGATCCCGATTTCCATTCCACGAGCGCGCTTGAAATTCTGAGAGAAACGGTGCGGGTTCTTCGGTTCAATTCGACTGGGTTCTTATCGATCATGGCGCTGTTGATTTTCCCGGTCTCCGGCTTCCTTTTGTCCAATGTCTTCGTTAACCAGTCCCTTGTGAAGAAACTTACAGTGAGGCTCTTGGTGCTTGTGAGATCCAGTGGAATTTCACTGGGGCCTTTTGTCGAACAGTTTGCCCGCAAGTCTTCGGAAATGGTGGTAGCAGCCGCAGTGTCCTTCCCGCTGTGTGCTACGCTCTTGTTGCTCTCCAGAGCTGCCGTTGTTTACTCCGTTGACTGTACTTACTCGCGGGAGCTATTCGATTCTTTGAAGTTCTATGTGATGATGACCAAGATCTGGAAGCGAATCGTCTTCACTTACTTGTGGGCATCAACTGCCGTTTCAGGTTGTCTCACTTTGTTCCTCGTGGTCATTGTTGCTATAACCACCTTGTTTTCTATGTTGGGGTTTCCTCCAAATCTCATCATATACCCTCCAATCGTACTCGGAGTGATCTTTGCAATACTCCTAGCGAATTGTATAGTCATTTGCAACATTGCGATTGTGGTTTCGGTGTTGGAAGATGTATTCGGACTTCAAGCATTGCTCCGGTCCGTTTCCCTCATCAAGGGGAAAACACGGGTTGGCCTTCTTGTGTGTTTTGGAACGACGGTCGGGTTGGAATTCGTGAAGGGCTTGTTTGATCGAAGGGTGAAGACTTTGAGTTATGGGGATGGATCTTCAAGGCTATGGGAAGGGCCACTTTTGGTGATCATGCACTCGTTCTTGCTGCTTTTGGACTCCATGATGTACGCCGTTCTCTACTTCTGTTGTAAATCCAGTGGAACCATAGAAACCCGTGATGAAGAAGAGAGTCAACCGATTCTGGATGCCACGAAATCTCCTTCAGACATCAACTGAAGTCCAATGAACTCTGCAAGTTTGGTAAATGTGTGTTATGTGTATTAGATAGAACCCATAGAAGACACACTTGCAGCAATGCATCAATGGTCTTGCAGAAAACATTCTTTCTGTTTCTACATGAGTAAGACTGTGCACATCTTCTTGACCCATAGATCTCAATGGAGTTGAGGACTTTGTTGTTGTGTACTATACAGAAGACTTCTCATGTGGCATCATTAGATTTCTAGAAAACGGGACCCGCTCGATACGTCTTGGAAGAACGAAATCTAACGGTGCCACATAGGGCATTGTCGGATTGTATATAGACGGTTATGTCCACACAAATTTTCAGTTTTGAATCTGAAAAAAGTATCTGTATTTGGGCATTGGTTTTGGGATTAGGTTCAAGTAGGTGTTTCTTTCTTTTGTTAGCCCAAGTGAGAATGTATGGGTTTTATGATAAATATATATATATATGTTGTTTCCCTTTTCCTAGAAAATTGATATTAAAGAAAAACATTCATTGTCTTGATTATGCTTAACTGGTCATATTATTATGGGATGCATAGTTGACTTTTTTTTCTTGTGCAAGTTTAAATCCAAAAACCTAACTTTATCCTTTACAAAGTGGTGAGGTAACATAAATTTGCAAAGTTGGATTTATGGGAGAAGGGTGGTCTACACACACTATCACATGTCTCTACTTTTTCTTTTGAATTTGTTACTCCATATATAAAAATATACTGTTTATTTTAATTAAAGAAAAATAATATTTTGATTAACTTAATTTGGAGTTCTTTGGAAATAGTCTATCTGCTTTTGAGTAAGAATACACATACACCCTCTGAGACTACTCTTATGAGATTCAACTGAGTTGTTATTAATTGAATATAAAAATTTATTTTGTTTATTTTAATTAAATGTAAGTGGTAGCAAGGCAAATTGAACAATTGTCGATTAGCATCCAATGCATCAAAATCTCACCTAAATAAACATTTTCATTACAACACACGAGTCAAGAATTAAGTAATATTTTTCCTATTTTTAGTTGAATATTTTTTTTATATTTTCATTTGGCTTAGGGTCTATAAAATCTCAAAGACGGCATTGGCCTTATACGGAGTATGTATTATCTCTGCTCACAGAAGAGGTTGTGCAATTAAACTTTGTTCATACCAACTTTGAAATCAAAGAAAGATTTTATCCAATATTTCTCAAACACAAGTTTATACTCTCTCTCTCCCAAAAGGATTACAATAGTTTTACTTTTTCGGTCAAACTATGTAACGCTTTGACAACAAATTATGGAAAAAGTATATTTAATTATAATGTAAATTTAGTAAAATTAGACTTAAATTATATTTAATTCGTGATCAAAAGATGTTATAGTTTGATTAAAAAAGTCAAACTGTCACAATCTTTTTGAGACAGAGGGAGTATATATAATCATTCTTTAATGTACATGCAGTTACTTCCTACGTCCACCAAAATTTTTTGTATTTCGCTTTTGAGTGCTTATATGGGACACTTTTATATTAAAAAAACAAATGTTTATCTAGGTAGTAAAGAAATGCTTATTTTGCTCAAATATAGGTCCACTATAAAATTTACCTTCGTTTTTACGTACAAAATCTCATCTTTTTTAAAATGATTTTATTTACAAATTAGTATAAAAATTAAAAGTAAAAGTTACATATTTAAGAACTACATTAAAAGTTCTACAAAATAAGTGGTGACATGAAATATTTTATTTTATTAAATGACTAATAATTTTAAAATAGACACAAACAAAAGATATCGAGCACCTTTGAATAGTAAACAAGAATAGTTTTAGTGAACGGAGGGAGTATTTTTTAGAAAAATACTAGTTTGACTCGAAATTTGAGCCCTACCTTTAACTCTGCCCTCTTCCAAATCTTATAGACATTCACAAATATCCGTTATTGTTCCGTGTCTGTGAATGCATGTAAGAGGTGAGATTAAAAAATATGGTTCAAATCATGGGCCCTCAAGCATAATTCTTATTTTTATGTGTTAGTGTGTCATATTGTGTCAAAATTAATGGAATCACCATTAAGTGTTACTTCTAAAAAAAATTCGTTAGAATAGGTGTGCCATTTGATCTATCTCATTTGTACGCATTTACCGGTGGACGTTGCGTAGTTAGTAAAGATAAGGAGTGCTAAAGGGGTAAGATTCAAGTTCGATTTCCAACAACTGCGTTGAGAGACAACTATGCTAAGCATAAAGTTTCCACAAATATCAAGTGTAGGCTTCACTCTTTGCCACCAATATGCAATCAAAATTTAATTTACCTCCTTTTAGTGATCATCTGCCCAAGTCCAAAGGAATGGGACTCGTCCTCTTTTTTTATTTGTACGCACTCAATGTGTACCATGTAATTTTTCATTAATCATATCCTCTTCCATTATTTCCCAAAAAAACTCTTCCTAAGGCATTGTAGTATTTCCAAAGATTCATAAAAGAGAAGAAAATTTAAAAAAATAAGAGGAAAGATACAAATAAAAAAAGATAAAGGGGGAGTGGGAAAGCCCTACCCACACACATACATACATAGCACATGTTTATGTTTTGCGTACCTTCACTCCCATTTAGTCCGATCCTTTCTTTTCACTATTTTGTTTCATCCGCATCCATGTTATTGTTGTTAATAGGGGTGAGCACGGGTCGGGACGGTTCGGGTTTTATACCGTCCTACATTTTGTTTCGTTTTTTTCCAATGGTTTGGTACGGTTCGGGCAACAAGCTTATCCCTTAATATTCGGGATTGGAATAAAACGAAACAGATTCAGGTTGTCCTATTTTGTCATTACCCGAAATTAGATATAAAAATATAAAATACATAAGGGGTGACAACCTACTTTGACTTACAAAGTAATGAAAAAATGATATATTAGTTTAGAATGTTTTTGGAAAGCTAAAACAATAAGGAAACATGGAAAAAATGTTATAACATACGTTAAAAGTCAAGACTATAAACTTCATGAAAACTATGAGCCACAAATTAGGGTGAGTCGGTTTAGAAGAGTCTGGATTTTTAAGTGAATATTTTTTAAATCTATTTTGAGAAAAATAAAAATTATGATATTTTTTATGGTATATATTATTATATAAATAAATAGATATATACATATAAACGGGACAACGAGACAGAACGAGATTATATTTTTGTGTCTCGATTGTGTCCCATTTTAAAACGGTTCGGAACTTGTTTGGGATAAAATTTTGTCATCCCTAACAAAAATGAATATTATAGGGACGGAACTGGGATATATCATCTCGGAACAACGGCTTTGGGATTCTTGCCAACCCCTAGTTGTTAGTTCCTGTCGTAATGCCTTGAATCTGATCTGTTACAGCAGGGAGTACGAGGGTCTCGCTACACAATGTTGATATATTGGGCTTCTAATTATCTGTTAATTCTATGGATTTGGGCCCAAGTCTATTAGGGATTAGCCAAGCACTATATATATGGGTGCTACCACAAACCCTACATTGTATTCTGTTCTTTGCCTCTCCGTCCGTAATAAAACGGCTCCCCCTCTTCCTGTGGATGTAGCCAACACAACGTTGGTGAACCACGTTAAATCTGTTATCGTGTTTTTCTCGTTTATATTTGTTATTCTCGAATTCCGCATAACAGTTCCATCGATTGTTCTCCTTGTACATGGTGTAGTTGGGTTGTATAACTCTTGTTGGCATTATTTTTTTAGAAACATTTAATTTAGTTCTTTCTAGATGCTTTTATATCAATTCATATCGTTTTTAATAGAACTGTAGTGTCATGTACATCATCTGAAGCAACAAGAAGTCCAAGTTCTAGTGGAATGATATTCGTTGTATATGATTATCAAAAGTCTTGTTGAGTGCCACATCTGATTTCCTACGACCAAAGGAACTTCTTTCTCAAAGAATCCAACATCTTACGAATAGGTGATTCTCTATCCGTGTTTCTCTTGCAGAAAAGACTTCGCTGGTAGAAGACTAGCTTCTGCTATGACTCTACTAAGGTTGACACCTTGTCTATTTATGCAGAAGACTGCCTCCTGGAACACTTGTGAGAAAGAACAAAAAAACAACTAAGAGAGAAGTATTCATATACAAGAGAAGTTCTGGTGAGAATAGAGATCACACCATCAATATTTCTTATTAGCGTGTGATCTCGCAGGAATGCTTTTCTTGATCCATTCTGTTCTTGCGTGAGCGTATGAACGTGAGTTCATAGCTATGTTCAAAAGGGGAACTTTGATGTTCTGGAGTAAGGCCAACGACATGTCCTCAAAGAAGATCTTGGAGAAGGTGTAACGTGTCAAGGAGGTAGCCGCAAACCGAGCTTGTCATCATATCACGTGTAAGAGGTTTATTTCAATACATAGAAAGAGTCTATAGTTGATTGAAGGTGTAAACTCTACCGTGATTTAGTGAAGGGTTGTTACACGGACATGGGTCTCGCAGATATTAGAAAAATTGCTCCAAACTGCGTAAACATTTTGTGTGTTGTTTACTGCTTTTCTAGTTATAGTTGTTACTTGTGACACAGAAGTTGTTATAGCATAGTATCTATCATACTCTCTACGTCCTAAAATGTTTTTCCCGTTTATTATTCACACGATCAAACTGTAATAATTTTCTTTACCTATTTCCGTTAGTTATTTGATAAAATAATAGTCTTATCATCTCTTGTTTTGTAGAACTTTTGATGTAGTTTTTAAATATATAAATTTTATTTTTTCATTTTACACCTACAATCAAATAAATTAAATTGAAAATAAAGTCAGTCAAACCCCGTAAACAAAAACGGGAAGAACGTTTTAGGACGGATGAAGTAATAATATGTGTTGTAAGAAGCTTTGTACTGCGATTTACATTTTTCTGGTGGTTGTGTGTGTGTTCTACAAATCTGTTTGGGAGACGGATAACCCCTTCTAGATTTCAATTGTACTCACATTTCTAAAACGTGTTTTACTCTATTTTTACTCCTATGTATGGTGATTTCTTTAAAAAAATTAACAATTTTCTAAACATAATTTTTATACTCCATAAAATATATAAAATCATTCTTTATGTACATGCAAATAGTTATTATTTGCATGTGTTAGTGTGACATATTGTGTCAAAATTAATGGAGTCATCATTAAGTGTATCACCTCTTAAACCTTTTTTTTATTAAAGTCGTTCTACAAATACACCATCGTGTACCTCATTTGTACATCATCAATTCCGGCAATGTCATGGGAACCGTTCCCTTAAAAAATTACATTAACACTTTATGCGTGTATGAACCATTGACCAAAAATCATACTGACACAAAATGAAAGTACACATTTGTGATGTACAATCTAGAATACAAATTTTAGGGTACAAATAGCATAATCCAATTCCTCTTAAAAAAGAGAGTAATAAGAAAACCCCACTTGGGAAACACCAAGTGTTCCGTTGATGGGAGTGGAGTGTGTGTTCAGATCGGGGCGGAGTGAGGGTTTACTGGGGAGGTTATGGGATAGGAACTGTCAATTTTACGAACGGAACACCATAACAGCCTCGGGTCATCCCATAACATGGAATCCCAATATCATACAAACCCCTACAATTATTATTACTATTATTACTATTTCCTAATAGTTATATTTAAATCAATTTCTCATCTGATTTTATATGATCTAATCTGACTTTAATAAGAATAAGTAATAAGGAGAGAGATGATAGGATGGCCAGGGGAGAGGGAGGTTTTTTTTTTTACAATTGAAATTAGCTACCAGGTAAACTATAACTAATTAGACTGAAAACGTTAATACTGAGAATCCTAGCAGTAAAACATGAGTTTCCTAATACTGTCAGCAAGTTGGGGCAGTGGCATTGTCTTGGAGGGCGCGGCTCGAGTGACCCCAGAGTTTGTAGGACGCTGGAGATACAGCCTGCCTCTATACGCCGCCAGGTGCGCGTAGTACACCGGCGGCACAAGCGACACCGGCTTGGTGCACCTCACGGAGGTGTAGCAGAGGTTGTACACCAACCTCTGCAACTCGTCCGAGGTGAACCGGTTTTCGTCCCACAAAACGTGGTAATGGACCGGCCGACTCGTCCCCTTCGCCCCTCCCCAGTGACTGCACAGATAAAAGTCGAACTCCGTCGGGTGCGTGATCACCGTGTCCACCACCGTGCCTGGCGGCACGTTGTTCTCTTTCAATAATTCATCCGCCGGAAACAATCGCGTGTGGTGCCTCTTTTGGACGACCGCGAATGTGATGGGTGGTTTGTAGCCCGGGAACCTGGAACAGGCGGTTCGTATGGCCTTGAGCTCTTCTTGAAGGACTCTGGCGAATTGGGATTCACTCACTCCGTCCCTGAAGAAGATGATCCTCTTCGGGAGGAGCAACATCTCGTCATAGAAATCGTCGAGGATCTCGCTCACCATCTCGTTGAGATCCTCGATGATTTCTTGCCTATGCGTCTGGGAACGCATCCTCGACGCGTACTTGTTGGACTCAGGCCAGTTCAGGCTGCCGACCACGGCAGCGACCGAAGGGCTCGAGTCATCCAACGGGTGTGGATGGGTTACATCCGCACCCATGAAGATGACCGGGTCGTCGGGCTTGAAGAGCCTCGGCACCTGGGCTGGCAACGGGTTGAGGAGCACAACGGTGGACCCCCCGAGCTTGGCGTTGATCTTCAAAGCCAAGTTCGTGAGGAAATGGGAGGAGTGGCCGACGAGGTTCGGGTACAAACAACATTGCGAAACCACTCCGATCCCGGTCTCGGCAATCCGTTTCAAGTCCCCATATCCTTTGTGTTTCTTCTCCATCACACAGATCAAGAGCTGCAGATGATTCTTCTCCATTTTTTTGAGCTTAGATTCCAGCTGCTTGGCATTGTTGAGCAAGTGCATTGGCTCAAATTGTGGGATGAGTGCCATGGTTTTGTTAAGGAAGATGCCTAACTGCTCACATTTTTGAGACAGTTGGTTTACAAACTTTGGTATGTGGGACTTTTGACTGTGGGTCCCACCAAAGCTTATCAGGGCCCACCTCTCGACGCGGGTTCCTTCAAAGACGTGGTGGCCTTCTAGAAGGTTCCACTGTCTGTCGCGCCGAGAGGGAACCAGGTTCTTTACGTGTCCGTGGTCCCCGAGTTTCAGTCTCGGAGGGAGGAAGATTCTCCCTTGCAGTCGCGTCATTTCTCTGGATATTCGAATCTTGAATTCTTCTCCTTGATTTCCACTGTGAGCATAAGACATTTGGGTCAAACCACACTAGTAAAAAAAGATTGACTAAAAAAAAGAATAATACCTCGTGGGACCAACGGGTCCGGTCATGACTCCATCTATGATGGCTTTTCGTTCCCTTGGTCGTCGACACCCCATTTTGAGAATGCGGGCAGTCTGGGCATCGGAGAGCTGCCCGAGAAACTTCTGCCCTTCACAAATGACACACAACTCCATTGGAAGATAGCAAGGCTTGCCTCTACTTGTCACCAAACAAGGCAAATTCTTAAACTGTATGTCATAGTTGTAATGATCTTTGAAATAGTTCACTAGCCTTTTACTCGTTCCATCCCTGTCGCGAAACCAAAGATCCTCTGTTATATCTTCGGTTAAGCTATAGATGCGATACTTTTGGACGGTTTCTCTATGGCAAACAAACACCCTAATGTTCTTTAATGCCTTCTCCACTTCTTTCCTCTCTTCACTTGTCAACTTCTTTGTCTTCATATTCAAGAGATTGTGCAGAAAGTTTAGGCGCTTTTCCAAGTAAGGTATCACTCCTATACTCTCATGGAAAGCTGTTACCGATAAATCGACATTGAGAGAAAGGCCTTGTTTGGTTGGTCTAAGACTCTGAAAGAATCCCCTCAACGCCACGGCTCCTCCTCCTATCTCCTCGGCCCCTCCCATTGAGCTCGAGTAAAACGATTTCCCGGATGCCAAACACTTCTCGGTTGGGCTTTCCCAAAGCACCACATCTAGCGCGTGGAGATATTCCTGAGGAAGCGGGGTCCACTCGTCACGGTCCCCCTCATTGTTCAAGTAGCTCTTGAGCTTCATTCCATCAAGTTTGGACACTAGTTTGATGTTGACTTTAAACATCTTGTGTGAATTTGCACCATTTAAAGGGAGATTGATGTAGAGCTCAATCCTATCATCCTGGAATTCAACTGGACTGTATATGGTTCTTCTCCCATCGTAGACCGGGTTAAAACCAGACACGACAGATGAGTGGTTCTCCACAATGTTCTTCTTGATCATTCTTGCAATTTCCTTGGATGGGGTAGGGGAGATTTCGACATCGTAATGGAAAATCCTTTGTGACGGGTCGAATTGAACGAGGAAATGGTTGGCAAGCAAAGGGATCACGTGCCCTTCCACGCCACCGGAATCTGGTCTTCTTGCCATCACCATTGACTCTGGAGTTGCAGCCATCACCTTCATTCTCCCATTCTGCTTCTCATCATTTATTTGAAGTGCCCTCATTGAATCTGCTTCATGTTGATTTTTAGACATTAAAACCCAAACTGAATAGTGAATACCATTCAAAATTTTCAAGAATCTCTTTTTTTTTAATTTAAAAAAATAATCCCATTCCAGATTTCAAGAATCCATTTTGTTCTTTAGTTATCAAGCTTAAGAGATTTCAAGATTCCATTTTTTCCTTTAGTTTTCAAGTTTAAGGGGTACTCAACAGAAAAGAAGAAGAGGGAAGCACATATAGATACATAGGGATACAAATAGTTTACTACAGAAAGTTCTTTTTTTTTGTTCTCAATAAAAAAAGAAACACACTATTAAAAAAAGCAAGGAGTATATTCCAAGAACTTTCCATGAGTACTAAAACAGGCAAGAAAAGGTAGGTAAATACCAGATGAAGCTGAGAAATCTTGAACAAGGGAACCAGAAGGGGTGGGAAAAGGAGGATTCACCTGCACAAATGGAGGTGGGTTGTGGAAATGGAGTTTTGATCTGAAAGAATGGGGATGAGGGAGGGGAAATTGCAGAGGAAGGGGGAGAAGAGGAGGGTAATTCTGGGAAAGGTTCTGATTTTGAAACCCAAACCTAATGTTGTTACTTGGGTTGTGATGGATGATGGCACCAC